TACATCGTTTGGTACAAGTTATTGCAAATTTTGGACATTTAAGGTACAAAAATAAATCAGCAAGTTCTAGATTTTAACCCTTTGCATTCGGCTGTCCCCCCTGAAGGGACATCCAGCAAAAAATTTGGATGTACACTCTAAGAAAACACAACGATATTATTGTTTTAAATGTACGACAAAAAAACATAAGCGGAGAATGTAAAGAAAAGATATGTTTACTTGTATATTTGCTATCTATTTCGTAAGAATGTGTGTTTAAGTTAGCAGTAGGTGATCGAAGAAAAGTCTCCGAGTACAAAGGGTTAAAAAATTCGCCAAGAATGTGATGTATGCAATAAAATTGTTACAATAACTTTGCATCGGATTTTGTTTTCATTGCTCGAGAAAAGAAATTTGTAAAAAAGCTTGATCTGCAAAGGGATGAATCTGATCGATAAAAGGGTTGATTCGCCTAAAACCTGTGTTAGTCCGTCGCTGGTCGAACCAAACATCACGCGAACAAGAGCGACACAGATGCATTTCGTTGCGGTGGAAACAATGCGCCCGTTGCATCAGAACGAACAAATGCCGATTACACCTGTAATGATCTCCGACGAATAGCGATGTTGTAAGAATCTTTGCGCACCGTGACGTGTCAGAAGTGATTTCTCCCTAACCGCACAGCAGCCCGGTGTGCACGACGAGAAAAATTCGCAAGAAAATGCACGCGAAGTCGCCATGAATTTGCATTTGCAGATTTTATGATTTGTTCGTTGAAATTACCGATTCCTTCGATGTTTTATTCATCCGAAACCCAGCGAGTTTGTCGTCTCTTCGTGCCTCGAGGATCAAATTTCCCTTATTCGTATCATAAAATATTTCCCAACGTTCGTACGTTCGACTGCGTATCTCCGTATTTATTATACCGTTCTCGAAAGCAAATTTAATCACGCACTGTCTATCTCCGTTTAATGTTCTCTGCGTTCCCCCAGGCTTGGATAAAATACGTTCACTGACAAAATAATGCAGGATACTGTTACAATTAATCCTGGGTTAAATTTAAAATAGTACTTTGAACAATTGATAAACCATTTTGATTATTATCTACCGATAGTGAAAAGCGAATGAATCTAGAACCGTCTCTGATTGATTTAAATACTTTTACTCTCGAGCATCGAGACTCGTCCATTGAGCTGAAATTACTCACCGGAGTCTCGTTTTGTTAATAGTTTTTTTGCCGTATTATCTCGAATAGGCGATCGTGGCGGACAGATCGAAGAATACCTGAAATTTCTCTAGTCTGAGAGCCGATGCACGGCTGAGTCATTAATCGACGGGACTCCTGGATCATCTGGCAAAAAACGGAAATTGAGAAGGCGAGAGAAAAACGGCGCCGCGAGCCTACGATTACGAAAGCAGGAAATTATTACTCGCGTCATCGCTGCAAAATGCCATCGGCCGTTCAACGTTAAAACCGTTTCCATCGCGGAGGCCAGCGACTGGGATTCGGACGACGAAACGACTACGGAATATCATCGACGTCTCTTGTTTCGAAATTGCATTTCAATTAACGAATGATTAACGACTGCCGAAGCGGCCGCGACGTTGGATTCGTAATTATTTGGCGCGTACGACGTTAATGTTTCGCGTGATCGATTATTGTTCAAAAACCGACAATTTATATTCAATTTGCCGCGGACGTTGTTCTCGTTAATGAGCCACGTCGATCGTCGCAAACATCGCCAGATCTCTTCCAAATCAAATTAGTATTCGGGCACTATTGCCATTTTCAACTCTTTCTAACAAACGATAAATTTATTTTAAACGGTCCTTTATTTACAAGACACGTTGGAAGGTTCTGAGTTATTCATTTATGTGTTAAAACAAAAGAAAATTCGTTGATCTACTCAATAAATGCAACGGAGTATCCCAAAGCTTCGTGGCGATGCTTTAATGGAACACAGTGGATCGAATACAATCGTTCGTACTTCTATGGAACGCCTAGCGTCGTTTCGAGTGGCTTGCTGCAAAGATAGTTTAGAAAGCGAATTTTTCTCCTGCAGACTTTTTGTCCGCCCGCCGTGTTTCCTAATAAAACAACATAACCTTTCGTTACATTCGACTCGATGGTAAAGCGATTAATCGGTGAAACTATTTTCAAGGAAGTGCATGGCTGCGCACCAGAGATTTTCTGCTGTAATTTGCGGGCAGAGTAATCGATCGACGAAATAGATTTATCCATTGTCGAACCCCTTCGGCATAACTGCCGTTAAAATTATTGTATAAACTTGGAGTATATTTAATGGTCGGGTCACCTCTGACCCAAAACAAAATACACGCAAGAGCGTGTATACGCGAAAATATAGAGTAAATAATATTCATTTTTAACGTTTGTTACGTACGATTTCATGTAACGGTGTGGTTTGTTCAAGCAAAGGAGATATAAAACGTCGTCAATCGTTTCATAAATGTCTTATGCGCTCTTACTATTAAATTTTTTTACATTTTCCACATCTACCCAAATTTATCAAGTTTAAAGTGTAATGTTTTCCGTCCATTAAACTGTTCGTAACGAGGTTAACTAAAGAAATCTTTTTTCCAAGGTATAGTTAAGAGATTTATAGACGTTGATCACCACTTTAATGGGTTAGCTTAATGGAAGGGTGTGATTTATTTGTCACGCCTCTGGTGCCGTCTACGTCTAATTAAATATGAAAATTAGATATTACTAACTGACAGGGTTTAAATTACACATGATAATATATTGTCACAGTAGTCGTGTATATTAATTATGTGTACAGTTAAGCGTTATGACTGCCAGAATAAAAGAACGACTTGTCTCTTTTATGCATTAGAGTAGAACGTAGTCTAAATGGTTTTTTAAATAGGCCATTTGTTTAAAACCGTACACCTCCTGGCGTTGCCTTTCGAATCGAATAATTGCATCCAACTTTACACGTTTGTGCAAACTCGATGTTGTGTGCTTTCTCGTCTCAGAGCATGTTTCTATAAATTTCGACAAAAAGGGGTTATACGATTGTTCGTAAAAAAAAAAATAGAAATAGAATACTTCCTCGAGACAAGTCTCGGTGCATTTTGGAAGAGGATGCATCGGTTGCACTGCAGGATCTCACGAAATTGTTTAAAGCATCCGCGAGGTCGTTGGAGGCGAAAATAATGGACTTGGTGCCTGCAGCGTTCCTTTGACTCGGCAAGAATTTAACTCAAAACGTTAACTCGTCGGTACACACCTCTTCTGCATTCTAACGTTCCACGCGATCGTCCTCGTGCATCTGCATACGCGTCCCGATGCTTCGCCGCGGCGCGGGGCGTCGCATCGAAGCATGCGCGTGTCGTCACGATTCCGTGCATTACTTCCAACGATCTCGAAAATCGAACGATACCATCACAATTTACAAATTTTGCGCTTCAAATTAACCTCTTTCCAGGTTATATTCACCCTCCCCCCCTTGAACCATAAATCAACCCTTTTGCAAATCAAATTTTTTTTAGAAATTTATTTCCTTAAAGTAAAATCCGATTTAAAATTACTATCCCGAAATAAAGAACAAAAATACTTATACAGGGTGTTCCGCATTTTTCAGTAGTGTGTTCTACAAGTAAAAATAACACTAAAGTGTAATGTAACAAAAAATTCATAAATGTTTGGTAAGAAGTTATGATAAAAATATGAAATGTGATGTTTTTTTATTTACTAAACAAACAAATTTACTAAAATTTTGTTTAAAGAGAGCAACTGCTAGTTGAGGCACGAACAAATATTTTTAACTTAGAATTATGAGGATAACATATCAGAGTTTAGTTTCTATCATTTATCTTGGGTGCTGAAGTATTCATTCTTCGATGATAACTTTTTGTTATCATACAATGTTGAACTAGTGCTCAAGTTTATGTTGAGTAAATTGCTAAGAAACTCACGATATCAAATGCTTGCAAAAGATTGATTTTATTTTATTATATATTTTTTTTCTTATTTCAATGTTCTGAATCTCAACAGAGTTTCACAGTTCATATTTTTGTTATAACTTCTTAACAAAGCATTTATGAATTTTTTGTTATATAAAATTTAGTCTTAATTTTACTTGTAGAACACACTACTGAAGTGTGTACGGAAAAATGCAGAACACCCTGTATAACATTATAAGACAAAATTACGTATTTACTTTTGTAGTCGCCTACACGATAAGTTTGATTTATGAATGCATTAATTTATACTGCAAAAATGTAAATATGATCTGAAAAAGGGTTCATTTGGAGTGGAAAACCTGTATTTGCTTTCACTTCGAGCGCATAACGCGAGGGCGTAGTCAGAATGTTGGCTAGGAAGGGGAAAAAATGCTAACAGCATATTTTTTGCTATAATACACAATACTTGAACGATAATCGACACCTTTTGTTCACGTTTCGTAAACAATTGCACCACCGTGCAAAATAACCGATAAAACTTCCGTGAAGTGGGGGGAGGGGGCCACCGTTTAGACACTTTTGCAATGAATAATGAATTTTTCGTAGTGTACACCCATGAATATGCATGAAGCATTAAGTATAGCAGTCGGAATTACCATACCGACTTATGCGAGGTCCGAAATGACGCGGGTCATTAATTTATCCCGGTGGCACCTGTGTGTGTGCGTGCATGTGCACGTAATAATTTGTAATTCGTAACCGTTTGGTCGAGAGTTAAATGGTAATAAGCCACCCTTTATCAGACGACTGAGCAACTTGTTAGATCGCCAACGACCGGCCTTTCACTGAATTCGAAAATTCTTTATGGCCCACGGTGCACCTGATAACCGGATTTTCGACGATCTATATTATTCGCTTGCTTTCAATTTACTCTCGCCTCTCGCGATACGTTCTGCAATATCAACATAAAAGGCATTGTTTTCCATAAATTGGGTCAGAGATTAACTAATTTTATTTGAAGTGAACGAATGACAAGATTAAATTCGTTCCAAAACTAGCTTTAACCCATTAAACATCTGTTTTTGAATCTTAATTTACGAATGTCTTTGTATTTATTGTCTCGTTCTCTGAAAATTCTATTAACGAGGGCTGCTATCGATGCAAACATTTTTCGTAATGGAAAAAAATAATAATTTATTTTTACTTCGAGAGAAATTAAAATGTAAATTTCACTTAGGTACCTCCACCGTATATGTAACTTTAAAACCTTTTTATAGTTATTTCTTTACCGTACCATTTAAACTCGCACAATTTATTCTTTTACATTTCTACTGAAAAATGTAAGTGCTATAGTTATCTACCGCACTGTATTTATTTGACGGTTATAAATTTACAGTAAATTTATTTTAAGAATTTTCCAAGTTCCATTCGAGTGAAATAATTTTTGCAAGGGTGTTCCCTATAAACAAAATTAAATTGCAATGAATAATAGTGAAATTTCCAATCTGTGAATATTCAGAGGTACAAAAAAAGAAATCAAAATATAGGTGACGGAATATGATAAAAATTACGAAATTTTTGCGGTGAAACGGATGTTTGGAGTCACAGAGTGCAGCGTGCGTGGATCGCGGCAGCAGGTGGAAAACGCTTCGGAAGCGAAGCCGACGAAGGTAGAAGTGGCGGAGCGCATCGTAGAGAACTGGTTTGCCGCGGGAGCTCGCGCGTCGAGACGCCTCGCGGCGCGACACACCGTGGTGGGGGGCGATCCGTTTCGCGACTGCGTGGTGGGGGAAAGCTTGGCACCGACAAGTGATCGTTTACAGTTATAGTCAGTCCGGATCGGGCGCTCGGTCAGCCGAGACTACTTGTGCCAAGTGTTCCCCCACAAACGAACCCGATTTGTCGAGCCGGTATTAACGTGACCGTCGCCTTTCCACGCGGCCCGCATCGAGACGAGTAGTTGAGTGAAGTGTCTTCCACCAAACGACCCTAAACGTTCCACCCTTCCGCGACATCCTGTTTATCGGATATCTCTCTTCCCACCCGGTGATTCTGGTGGCCAGGGGCCACGGAACCCCGTGAAATTCGACGAAATCGAATCGGGCACGATTAACGGTACATGCACGCGCGTCGCTGGTGAAAAGCAGACGCAGGATCGCGTCGGATCGAAACGACAGCGCCGGGAATGTGGACGCCGTGGGTTCATTGTGCACGATTGATTGGATACGTGTCAGCCTTCGTCAGAATCGAAGCTTGGTGTCGGTCTCGCTCGATTCCTCGTAGGTAACGGTCCCGAACGGTGTTTCTTTCCCTTTTCGTGGATCTTCACGAACGTTCCTCCTCTTTTTAAATTCCCCTCGTCGGTTTGCGTTTGTTTAAAAATATTTATGCGACGATCAACAACGTTTTACTTTTTATTTACTACTGTCCATTAATTGTAAAAGCTCGCTTGCTATTACTATTACAAAACCAGCGTAACTCTGAAACAGTTTGCGTGGGTCGGAATGAACCCGAGGCAAATAACACGATGACGTACACGCGACACAGCATTCTAACGAATTTTTTGGGTGTTGACGTTTCAATCATCCAATTATGTCGGCATAACAGTTCGTTGTCAGTGTGTGGATGGCAATTCTAGCTTCGTGCTTGTTTGATTTCTTTTGATTCGTCACGAACCGGAGGCATCGGAGGACGTTCGATGAATGAAGACGAGAACCTCCTCCGATGGTATTCGTTCCTGGTTAGCTGAGAGTTTGCTTTTCGTTTGTTTTGACTTTCGAATCGGAAGCCACGGGGGAAGGAACGCTTCGATGCGCGCAAGAAACGCGTCCGAAAGAATACGGTCACTCGTACGCGGATGTGACCTCGTAACACTCGGCGAGGACTTCGAGACGATCGCGATGGAAATGGGAAATGGAAACGAGACGATCCGCCTCGCGTTTCCGTCGCGTGCTGGAATTCTTCTTTTCCTCGTGCTTCGTTTCTCGCTGACTCGACTTGTTGCATTCCGCGCACGAGGAACAGGAATTCCCGAATTGCAACGCGCCTAACAGTCGATACGGTTTTTCCCCCCAAGACACGCACGAATGTTTGGAAAAAATTGTATTTAAATTGGAAATTCCGTCTTCTTTTGTTCGTAATGCTACCTAATCCGTGACAAAGACAGTCTCTGTGAAACTAATTTTCTTCCTAAGTATTGAATTTTCACTTTTAATAGTTTTATTCATTCGCGGGATACGTATACCCTTTTGTAGAAAGTGTAACCACGGCGTACAGTTTTTTAACCATTCATTGTCATCCGACAAAAATTTATTGCTATCGAGTGTACGGCAGATGATGTATGACAATGATAAAAATTTCGAAAACAGTTTGTTTTCGTAGCGAAGTATACGTCACTTTGAGTTTTTCAAACGGAACGATATATTTTTTTCCTTGTAATATTATAAGGAATATCAAGAAGAATTCGAAATGCATATTAGTCTATCTTTTTACTAAGTAAATTTACAATTCTATAAATGGGAGCATTTGATTTTATTGAATGTAAACGTAGAGGTACAAACGAAAAAATATTCCCATTTCCATTATTAAAAGCCTAGTATTTTTAATTCATCTTGACATCTCTTACCAAATAATAAATAAGGTGATCATGATTTCGCTATAAAAACAAATTGTTCTCAAACTTTTTATTATTGTCACTCGACAGCCATGCACTTTTATCTGTAAATAACTAAAGAGTCGTGCATCGTGTTACAGAATACAAAAATTAAATTTTCTGTGGAGAAATGGAACTGTGTAACGCGTTTCTTCCTACCTATTTGTTTATAAACTCTAAACAACGTAAGTCAAAGACTCTCGCCAAATCAAACGTTCGACGTTTGAAAATAAAATATATTTTACGAAAGTTAAACGGTAAATAAACGCGTTGCTCGACAATTTCCGCGAAAACCACGCGTCCTCCCGGAATCATTTCTAGGCACGTGAGTCGAAACGATCGAACTTCGATGATCGAACGAAATGTCAAATTTTAATTTGCCGAACGCGCGCATAAATTTGAATAAAAAAGCCGACGTTTTTGCTCGGGAGACCGTTGGATTATTTCTCGTAAATCTAAATATAAACGAAACGGTAAACAGAAATTAATCGCGAGCGAGTTTATCGGTGTTTCGATATTATTCGCGCCATTGACGTCCGAATAGTATTCGACGATCACGTTTTATCATTGCGGACCTGCCGAGCGTTCGAAATCGTTACGCAACCGACGACTAAAAATATCGGAACCTCCAGTTGCACGATAATTTTTCAGATACTGGAATAATAAAAAAGGAAACGGGACAGCGATGCCGCGGAAAATCTCATTGTTCTCCCATTCATGAGCTCGAACTAACGCCCGACATCGTACACGCGTTTTTGCTTGCCTCGTAATATGCATACGCGCAAAAAGGTATTCATTCGTGTAAACTGTCGTATCTAGAATGCGTTCGCGTGTTTGCGATTCATCGTGCACGCGAAAGTATACTAAAACGTTATCGAACAACCGTTGCTGACGAGTCTTTAACCCCTTCGTGTCCGCGTTTCGATGCAGTGAACAGTACTTTTTATTTTTAAATCGGGAGCAAACATTTAACGTAAATTGGTTTCATGACTGTTATTGTATCATCAACAGTACAAACATTTTAATGTTTTATCGCAAATATTTAATATTCAATAATTCATGCTTCAGAAATAGTTTGTGGTCGAAGAAATGTATGAAAATACTTTCTCCAATATTTACGATATTTTTTCTTAATGATAAGACCATGTAGATCTAGTATTTGAATAACGTGAACGAGTCAACGTGTTAAGGGGCCATTCTACTTTGTAGGCATGAGAAATACATTTTTTTTGCGGGCTATTAAAGAGCGATTAATTCCGGGTTTTGTCGATACATTTATTATATATTTAACTATATTTACAAATTTTTGCGACGCATAATATCTATTGATTACGCTGTTTTTGTTGACCAACGAACAACAGTTTTTACGAACGGGGCCCGACTGCGTATGTGATATCTTGCGAACAAGTTATCCGAACTTCAAAAACCAAAGATATTCTTAATATAGATGATTGTGGTTATAGCATGAACTAGGATCTTTTCAAAAAAACAAAAAATGGCAAAATGGCAGCTATTTTATGAAAAAATACAGGAATATTTTCATATATTCGGTTGCTTTTTTGTTAATAAAAGAAAAAGTATTGCATATATCACAATTATCCTAGTTCATGCTATAGGGAGACTAGTTCTAAAGATACTGTATAAATTTGATGTTGATATCTTGAATAGTTTTCATGTTATCGTCTACGCAGTGCCGAAAAATGTAGTTTCGAGAAAAACAGCTTTAACGTTTCACGTCCAGTTGTTATACCTGCTCGTGGTACATTTCAGCAAGCTATAATTTCGTTAGTTTTCCGAATTTCAATTTAATATTTGGTAGATATATTTTCGAGACTACATACTAAAAAAAACGCAAAAAAAAATTCAATTTTTTAAATCCCACAAAGTAGAAAGGCCCCTTAATGTATTTTTATTTGCGGGGGATTTTACAAACTAAATGTAAATGGAAGTTACTCGACGAAAAAAAAATTTGTATTCGTTATTCGTGAGTAAAATTTGTCCAACTGTGATCCTCGGTTATTGAAAGTAATGTAATGAGCGCGAAGGGGTTAGATGCGAGTACCAGTGTCGTAAACTTTTATTCGAAGCGCAAAAATATCTTCCGCGATCGTTACCGCCGAAAGTTTTCAAACAAAAGAAAAATAGATCCCGTTCGCTCGCTTCGAACGCGCATTCCTGAACGTCCGCGAACGAGGGAACGGCGCAAAACCGGCCACACGACGCACAATGTGTCGCTTCTGTGAGAATTCGGAACAAAAACCATAAACTTCCATAGCAATTAATTTCCAAAATCGAACCTCCAACGCTTCACGTTCAAAAACAATACAAAAGTTGGTCAACGTCCAAAAAAGTACACATTTTCATTGATTTTTCTTTCAATAATAAATCCTCTGCTAATTTTTATTACTGCAATTTCTCGTCCATCGATTATTAAGTAACTTTTGTCTCGAATGTTATTTAAAGTAAAGTATCTTAGCGACGAAGTGTACGTAACATTTTTTCTGTTTTAATTAAAAAAATTTCTTATTTCCGAAATTAAAATCCGAAAGATGCAGACCTAGCCAGTGACAAACTATTAACCTTAGAACCAGCAATTAAATTTTCAGCAACGATTTGAGACATTAATTTAAAATTATTTCCCCGAAAGATTGCACAGAGATCCGTGAAATTCGCTAGAATTTTTATTCGTTATTCGAAATTAAAATTTGGCCAACTCTGCTGGACAGATTACACGCCAGGAAGGCACGTTTCGTTCGCGGAAAAAGAAATCTCTGATTTTCTGTCGTTTCGTTCGCGCGCTGCAGAAGCTTTTCCTCGCGGTGTCCAACGACGTAGATGGTCCACGACTTTCTCCTCGTCAACCGCGAATAATTTCCACGTGTTGTACAGATAGTGCCCTCCTTCCTCCACCCGGGAGTCCAAGGTAATTTCATCGGATGCCAGAGATCCAGCAGGGAGTTCGGAAGAGAAACACGGAGCACCAGTTATCGATCGGCTCCGACTGAGAGCAACGGGATAGAAACCTTATAGATCGCAGTGATTGTGTCGATCGAACCGAGAAGGAAAGTGTGGTGAAACTGTCGATAAAAACAAACGCAGAATATTCGTGAAACAAAACCGGAAAAACCGAACAGTGTCGACTGGGAAAGTGTTATTTACTTACGCAAAGATAACAGGAGTATAGCGAGCGTTCGAAGATCGAGGGAGGATCGATTTCTGACCAAGGATCGTCGATCTCTCGAGCGTGTACGCGTAATACAACGATCTCTTCGATGGAAGGTCGAAGATAATCGTGCGTAACCTCACCCAGGACCGCCAACTTCTAAGGTAAACACCTGTTTTGTCTTCGCTCTGTCGCGACTTCGATGCCCACGCGTGCATTCACCCAACTGTTCGAACAGCAACGCGCATTTTTACATAGTAATCGACGTCAGAAAAAAGAGCGTGCGTCAGGGATTTCCTATTCTTCGCGCGAACGATCAGCGTTTCATTATTTCACAAACCATCGTACCGTCACGGAAATTGGCATAAATATTATTGATACAAAGAAATTTAGTTGTTAGATTAATTTAATTTGAATAATGTAGCCAACAAAAAATTGCATCCTTGATTCCTTTGAAAGGAGAGATATCATGTTTTGGGAATAGATTTGTCCCGTCAGAATTATGCCCGAATTTAATATTAACGCTTATAAATATTTATGTGGAATACTATGCATAAATTTGAACAAGCAAACTTGCTTTTTAAAGTTTGTAATTCATTGAATTTTTATATAAAGATAGAGTTTGAATGCACTTTCTGCAGTCTACATTGATTCTTCAAAATTGGTTTTGTTTACATCTTGTTTCCTACTGTGCAATGCGGAAAGAGACAAATGACTCATGCACCGAGAATCGTAACAAAGTCAGCAGTGCGTCGACACAATGAATCACTTTCTTTTTGTTCAAAGCAGTGTCCAATTTTGGAAAAAGTGAGCTACAGCTAGTTTCGATAACGAGACTACTCGCTTTTAGACAACCGAGATAATCTTATAAACTAAATAGCCTGTTATGAATAAATTGATTGATTTGAATTTATTTTCATAAACAATAAATTTAAAATTCTTTTTCCGATCTATCTATTAAAAAATCGCAATAGTACATAATAATTTTATTTAATGTTCTTGTATAAAAGAGTTTGATCAATATTGTGATATTTTCGAAGCGTTTCTAACTTTTAATCGATAAACAGTTTAATACAGATAAGATTATATAAACTTCTCTGTTTGATTGTAAAAATCAATATTGAAGATAGAATCCAATCCATTTTTTCTGGTATAGTTAGGTTCGAACTTTTCAAAATATAAAATAATACTTTCTTGTTCTTGTACATAAACTGTTTAACGTTTGACTTCGACCAAGTTCCAGCAAGTTACGCAATACTACTTAGATTTTTATCCGTCGATTGATTTTCAGATTGATTTTGTTGTCGTTCACAATTTAAAGGAAATAAAATGATTTAAAAAATTCAAGTATATTGCAAACTATTGTTAGGCTTCGATACTTTATCGCTATTCCCTTAGAAGTAATCGCCACTTTAGATTTGCGAGACATTGTCTGGTTAAGTTAACTTATCTTCTGCTGGCTTTTCGAACTTTCAAAATTTGATTTGAGCTATAAATAATTAATACAACCGCAGTATAATAATTTACTTCTGATATTTACGACAGATTTTAGGTTCTGTATTCTTCGATTTTCCGAAAACAAAATTTTGACCTTGTAGAAAATTGTTTTTGTATCAGCAACTCTTTATCCAAACCTAGTTTACATATTTTTGTAGTTTAAACCTTTTGATATGAAACTACGTTTTGCTTTTTAACCAGTTCACATTTTTGTCATATCAAGCTATTATTTACATATTAAAAACCTCAATTTTACCTAGGCATTTACTGAAATTGGCTCTAATATTATTATTATTATAAATATATGCGACCCTTGCCATTTCTAAAAAAAATAAAAGTCCCCTGTTTGTGCAAAAATTAGTGGAATAAAAGTTTCTTAGCACAGAAAAGTTGGCAGTGAAAAAATTACTGTTGTATCAGAACCAATTAAAAATTTTAACAATTTCGTTTGACCCTTGCTTAACAATAAATGTGTTTAAAAACTCAGGGTTTGAACTAGTATCTCTAATGTAACGATCGACACTTTTGCAGTGTGCACGCCACTGTATGTGTAGGCCACGCACACAATGTGTCCCATTCGTTGAAAACGAGGCAAGAAACGACATTACTTATGGGATGACGCGATAGTTGATTCGCTAGTCGATCGGTTTCACTTTCGCGATCGGAACAGTGTCAGAATCATTTGCGACTCCTGTATTCACCACAGTGTCATAATGAAATATAAAACTGTGATTATTGTATCTGTGCTGTAGATTACGCGAGTTGCTGATAAGTCGTTCAGTCGAAGGTTATCATCCGACTGGTAATTACTATCGGCTGCCGTTTGATCATTCATTAACCGTATCGTGAAGCGTTGCCAGGACCGAATTTACCGTGATTCTTACTAAAATTAAGCATGACAATACTTGCAATTAAGATCGAAGCCATCAGACAATTTAAAAAGTACATTTCTATCGCACGTTGACTCGTTAATGAATAAATTTTCTTATTTTTCAACGAATAAAATAAATTCTATTACATTATTATTCCTAATAAAATAGAACTTTCTAATAAAAAAATTATAAAATATTCTTACTATGTCTTCTTCCATCGAATGAATCTTTTCTAGTATGTTTTTATAAATCAAAATTTTGTTCTTCTATCGAAACTTTTGTGATTCGAAATATTTTCAATTTTCTTTGGATTTCTATACTTGCAAAAGAATTGGCGTTACCCATGGACCTGAATATTTGGATCACCACTGAAAATATTTAAATATGCGAGACCTGTACGGCAATCTTAACTGTTTTTCGTCGTTTCGAAAAATCTTTTGCGCCGCGTAGTCGTCGTGCCTCGTAACTCGCTCAACTTTCTCCGACTCGGTTAGGCGACCGTAGGAATTTATAACGGACGCTAAAACGTCAGAGAAAGAACATACAATCCACGTTGGAACGTTTCAAATTATTTTTAACGCGAAACACAGATATTTAGCGAAACGTCGTGTTGGTCCTTTCCGATTTCCTACGTGAAATTCGACTTCCGATATAAATATCTTGCTTCATAAACGACAAACAAATTGAATATTGTATTACTATTTATTTAAAGCAAGCACAATCATACTCAACGATATAGATTATGAAATGAAACTGACACTTATTTATTCACTACAATATAAAGGAAATTACAAACTACAATATAAAATGTAACTCATATTTTATTTTATGAATTTTACCAAAATGCATCAGAATTCTGTCGCCAATTGTTTTTTCACTATTTTTTCATTAATTTTGTTCCAACATTTCCGTAATATTTTCTACGAAACCTTCGATTTTGAACGCCTTTATCATCAAAAATTGATTTGATACGTACATTACAATATTTCCAGTAAACTATTAACGTAAAATGAATAAATAAGATAACAAGTTCGTTTCGAATTGCATCTGTATCCTCATTTGTATTTTCCAAGCGTTTTCGCGCTCGTGTCGTTACTAGTAACAACGTTATAGACATTTGTTAGAATCGTAGAAATACAATTACTGAATCAGCAACTCGGGAATAAGATTACGCAAACTATGTTTACATTTCACGAAGAAAGTTAAACCATTAAAATGGAACCAGCCCCTATAAAATATTTGCCCATTTATTGCTATCTTACACGAATATTTATCGCTCGTAACATTTATTTACACGTTCGGGCGCTGGAATTTTGTAATAATTATACGAAGAACGCTATTGTTCTCGTGTCTCGTTACCACTATCGCGAATACAAACAAAAGGAAATACTTCTCGTTTGGAACGACATTATCGTTTTTATGTAGAATTGTTATCGTTATCGCGGAAACTCGGCTATTTGTATCATCGAAAGCAACTAGGTAACGCGTAAGAAAAATAGTGGGTCAAATAGGTTTTCGAAGTCTAGCACGGTGAGGTTTATGTGCACTGTCGATGCGGGAACACGGCTAACCCATTAAAACGAACACGGGAAACGACTTTTGGCCCAGATTACTCTACGGAATTTGCATACAGACACCGATGCAGCGATCTATTGTACGAAATATCCAGCAAGACGTTCGCAATGATGGATATTCTCCTTTATTATCAAAAATGAAAATTAAAATATTGGCTCTAGTTTGTTTAAAACACAAATTCAAAGTGGCCATTTTGTGATACCTAAAACAGGGCCATTTTATCTACAATTTCAACAGACTATTGCTGGAAACTAAACGTAAACTTTGACTTATTATAGCTTGTTCCTATTTTTGTAAAGCAAAGTCTATTTCAATGAATTTAGATTCGTACAATTATTTTTATAATTCTAATTTAATTTAATTTTATTTTATTTTTGTTTCAAATAATATAAGATACTAAATTTTATTGAATGTCTCGTTTCATATCAGTTCATAAACTCGAGTAATAAGGTTTTTTCTAACCCCAATTATTCTGTTCTGTCTTAAAAAGTAATAATTCTCGCCTCAGAGAGTTCAATGCCTCGTTAAGACAGCTACGCAGAAATTTCTACACCGATCGGTAAAGTTACCGAAATATATTCAAGTGCTTTCCCATTTCTCTATCGGAAACATAATAACCATAAATCAAACTTAATGGAGTTAGTTCATTCATGATATTAACAGCTTCGTACAGTTTATTGGTTACGCGAACCGACTTTCTCCCGTCGTTTTCCTTGATTCTAATGTTTCTGGCTCGACAACAGACGCGTCTTCGCTCGTATTATCGGTTCTCCGCCATTGCACGCGAACAAATCGTTAAGGATTCGTACAAAGAAAAAAAGCAAACAATTCAGAAATCGTTTACGTTATTAGAGAGACAGAAGTCTTCTGAAACTCATTCTCTGACATCGAATAAGCTCGTACGCGTAGGTCAGAAATGACCCAGCGTAGTGATCCAACTGTTAATGATAATTAATTCTGACTTGCAACGTTGTAAATTGCATAGGGAACTATACTGAATTTAGACTACTTTCGAGCCTCGTGTTATAACGACAACGTCTGGCTGTAAGCCAGGAAACCACATAACCTGATAATATCGTTTTCGTTCTGCTTCCATAAAACTATTTGCCGAATCGTAACGAGAAAGGAAGCGTGCGTTAACTTTACGGAAACTTGAAATTCATGTCGTTGTACGATTGTCCGCTTTCACGAACGATTTGCTCGCAGCGAATGAAATTTAT